GTCAGGCAAAGGCATGTGCAGGTCTGACGTGTCAGGAGCAGATTGGCTCGCGAACACAAGAGGCGGGTTGACCGCACGAGCATTAGCAGCTACAGCAGCTGGGCTGTTTGCTACTGCTGCTGGGCCAGAGCAAGAAGCTGGGTCGACACTACTGCTGCTGCTGCTGGGACTGTTACCGCTGTCGTTGATGTGGTTGTTGTTGCTGCTGCTGCTGCTACTGGTGGTGCTGCTTACGATGATATCGCCACCGCTGTTGGCACCCACTACAGAACCACACTGCTGTGCGCTGTTATCCAGTACCGAGTCGCTCTGAGCGAGGACAAACGATGCTCCTTCCCCACGCGACGACAGGAAGGAAGTGTCAAGGGAAGAATCGAGCAGGGCTTGCCCCGCGATGACGGAGAAAGCGCACGCTCCCATGCTGGCCAGGGCGAAGCTGCCCCCAGGCTCCAACCAGCGATGGTGTGTTGAGCAATCCTTGGTTGCTGGGTCGCACACTATTGCTTCCTGCTTGGGACATGGTGGAAGGAGGGAATGCAGCCAGCCAGGTTAGGGTCGGAGAAAGCGCAGGCTCCCGTGCTGGCCAGGGCAAAGCTGCCCCCAGGCTCCAACCAGCGATGGTGTGTTGAGCAATCCTTGGTTGCTGGGTCGCACACTATTGCTTCCTGCTTGGTACAAGGCCAGGATACAGGCAGCCGGAGGCGAGGAGGGAAATGTGAAGGAGAAGGGAGAGGAGGAGGGAGAGCAGAAAGGATTTCCGTTTTGAGGCTGCCTTGCTAGCAAGAAAGGATTACCATGGTGTCACAAACGCGGCCGGATTCGCCAGATGCACCAGCAGAGGCGGGCAGCGGGCTAGAAGAAACCCCATCCCACCCCACCCCACCACACCCCACCGCACCCCACCTTCCTCACCTGCTTGTGATGTGCGTAGAACATGAGAGGAGGCATGATGCCATACAGCACTGTCATGCCGTATGCGCCTGCTGCCTTGGGCACAATCAGCACCCACTAGGCATCCCTCCCAACCCACCTGCATTCCCCCCAACCCACCTGCTTTTGATGCGCGTAGAACATGAGGGGAAGCATGATGCCATACAGCACTGTAATGCCATATGCGCCTGCTGCCTTGGGCACAATCAGCACCCACTAGGCATCCCTCCCAACCCACCTGCATTCCCCCCAACCCACCTGCATTCCCCCCAACCCACCTGCTTTTGATGCGCGTAGAACATGAGGGGAAGCATGATGCCATACAGCACTGTAATGCCATATGCGCCTGCTGCCTTGGGCACAATCAGCACCCACTAGGCATCCCTCCCAACCCACCTGCATTCCCCCCAACCCACCTGCTTTTGATGCGCGTAGAACATGAGGGGAAGCATGATGCCATACAGCACTGTCATGCCGTATGCGCCTGCCGCCTTGATTTGGATTGGCAATAACAGGGTGAGAGAAGCAACCCACCTGCTTGTGATGCGCATAGAACATCAATGGAGGCATGATGCCATACAGCACTGCCTGCTGCCTTGATTTGGATCGGCAATAACAGGGTGAGAGAAGCAACCCACCTGCTTGTGATGCGCATAGAACATCAATGGAGGCATGATGCCATACAGCACTGTCATGCCGTATGCGCCTGCCGCCTTGCTTGCCGCCACAAACGCGCCAGGGTTTGCCAAAGCCACCAGCAGAGGCGGGCAGAGGGCCAGAAGAAACCCTACCTCCCTCCCATGCGACCTCACAAACCCTAAACCGGTTCCCGCGATATCTACTGCAGTAACTGCTGTCTCCTGCTGCTTCTGAGCTTGATTCCTTTGGCTTTTCAGGTCTATTCGCCCATGTTGTTCCTCGTTTCTCCTCTTGTCACCCACGCTTATCAACCCCAGCTGCTCTTCATCCCTCTTCTTGTCACCTGCACTGATCAATCCCAGTTGCTCCATGAAAAATTCAGCTAGGGCAAGTGATGTGCCAAGGAACGACGTTGCTACGGCAAGGAAAGAGAATGCGAGAACGACGGAGGATTGGAGCGGCGAGCCTTGCAGCAGGAGGAGGTTCAGTGGGTCTTGGAAGGGCGTGGAGAGCGAGTGAGGGAGTGAGGGAGTGAGTGAGGGAGCGAGAGAGGGAGTGGAGAGGGCGGTGGAGAGAGAGGAGGGGAGGGAGGAGGCGAGGTGGGAGAGGGAGGAGGAGAGAGAGGAGACGGCGGAGGAGAGGGAGGAGAGGGAAAAGGCACCGGCAGGAGCAGCAGCGGCGGCAGCAGCGGCCGAAGTGAGGGAGGAAGGGGAGATGGAAAGAGCTATGGCGTCCCATACTAGAAACATTGTAAGAGGTGCTGCACTCCCGATCACAATTGCCGCCCGAATCTTTCCCAGATTCGCGTCCAGATACGTGCAGATCACGGGAATCAAATCGTGGAAGACCAGCGCGAGGAAGATCACGGGGAGAGTGGTCGGCATTTCTGACCAATCAGCAACTGCCAGCTCATCCCAGTCCGCGATTGCCGCCCCTCCGCAGACCAGCAGGGTAAATATCCCCAGCAAACCAGCTGTCAATACCCGGTTAATGATATCCGCTGTTCTGGTACTGCCGCTGTAGATTAAACCACCCAGCACCGAAAAGAACCCCACTGCACCCACCCAATTGGGCAGACCCGTACCAAACGCCAAAACTTCCCCTCCTTTTGCGAAATACGCGACTATAAGGGTGAAGGACAAAAACACGTATGCTACTGTAGCTACAGTGCCGCCCACGGGACCCAGAGTCGCCTCGGCCATGGTTCGGTACGACAGGACGTCCGAGCCTCGCTCAGGCTCTTGTTCCGAACCTGCAGCTCCGGTACTGCTGATGGTGCCGCTATTGCTGCTGCTGCTAGCGGTACTGCTAGTAGCCATGCTGCTGCTAACGGTGCTGCTACTAACGGATCGCTCCTTGATGAGAGCGACGTTGACTTCCGCCAGCAGCAATGCCTCAAGACACAGGAACGCCCAGCAGGCTATTAGCACGAACGACGAGGGGAACACACCCTGAGAAAATACATTCGAGAAGGGATGGGAGGAGAGGGAGGGATGGGGCCCGGAATGGGAGGGGGGGAGAGGGGAATCGGGAAAGTGGGAAACCGAGGGATGGGGGGAGCGATGCAGGCATATTCACTCCTGCAGTCTAGGGTGAGGGATGCAGAGGGATAGGAGTCTATATGGCTTATTCACATCCTCATATCCGCTCCCCCTCTCCCCCCGCCAACACCTCGCGCAACAAGCTTACCGCAGGAGCAGTTTCCGCGGGCAGCGCCAGCACACCCGCGCCGACGGATGTTCCTATAATGAGCGCCACGGCTCCGAGGATCGTGCCGCCCCCGCTTCTTGAACTCGCCGTTGCATCTTTGACAGGCGCCGCCCCCGCCGCGCTACTAGCTGCCCTGTTTGGCGGTGCGTCGCGCGAAAGTGGCTGACGAAGAGCTCTGTCGCTCTTATTGGAGCCGACGCGAAAGGCATCGTTTTCGTTAGTATGACCAGCCCCCTCGTCACCTGCACACATCGTCACGTGTCTAAACCCCCGGGTTAGCCGCCGTAAATTCCGCCGTAAGAACCTCGACTGGCCCTGCCGCGGGCCTCGCGGCCAGACCTTATCTTGCCGCGATTCCCGCCCCAACCAACACTGCGGTCGTTCAGCGGCAAGTACCGATTGCTGTCGACAAGATCGAGCCGCGGCGCTTGTAAGCTCACCGCCTGTACGCCGAGCCGTCGTATGCGTTACCGCGGCGGTAGATGAGGCCGGATCGCCACGTGGCATTCGCAGCTCTGGCGCGAAAATGTCGCAGCTGCTGCCACACCCCTGCGCGGCTCGTACTCGTAGACTATGCGACGTTTCAACCGTCGCACGACACGTTCGCATGCATCGCAGCGATCGATCGACGGCTCCGCATTTACCGCCGGAAATGCCGCCTGCGAACTCTAACCGCGCCGCATCCCGCGGGAGGCGAACTCCCGCCGTTGGGACCATCGAGGTCAACCGCACTGAATACGCCATCGCAGCCGGTTCGTTACACCCCGCTTGAATGCGACGCTGGCCGCAGCTAACCGTACTCAATCGTACCTAACCGTGCCTTGCCGCCAACTAGCCGCACCCTAAAGTGCGCAATGCCGAAAGGCACGAGCTAAGGAGTGTGAGTAGGAAAGCAGACGCAGCAGCTGGGTGAGCAAACAAAGGTGAGATAAATAACTTCGCACGTATTCTGTCGGCACTCCAAGTGGTGCAAGTCCAGAGAGAATGGAGGCTAGAAATGAGGTAATACATTTGGCTCGACTTCTGTTCGGTTGGCATGCTGTGCCGTGTGCTGTGTGTGTGTGTAGTGTACCGAACCCACTCAACTGGTCAGTCAGCGAAACGAGGTGGTTGCGTTGGCGGGAGCGCAGTTGCGGCCGCAAACGAACGAACCAGCGAGAAGGATTGTGCTTCCGCGCATCGTCGATTCGCCGCCCGAGTGTGTGGTGGAGTCTGCGAATCATCGAACGCGAAACAGCGTGTCTAATAGAGAAGACCTGCGATTCGTTGTCAAGGGATGAAACGACATGGACGATTTAACAGGTTTCCCTGTCAAGTACAGATTTCTGGGTACATATAATGGACTTCCAAAGATTTGATTTGCAACAAGAACTTGCATTTTGGTGGACCTAAGTGTCTGAATAGACAGTTCAGTTGGCACTTATCGAGGGTTGTAGAAAAGGCCCAACAAATTCGCAAATTCATGGGCAGAACTCGGCAAACCCAACCATGTAAAAAAATTGCGGCAGAAATTAGCCACGTGTGACCACGTCATAAATCACTCCACGAAGGGGCCACGGCTCGAAGATTTCACGATGTCCATCGGAAAACGCTGGTCTACTCAGCACAAGTGCAGATTCAAAATATCCATGTCAGACTGGCGTGGCAGAGCATTCATGTCTGCCAAACATCCATACCCACTACAGCCATGCCTTTTCAAGATTGTGCTTTTAGATCCCAAGATGAAGAAACCATGTACAATTAGTACGACTCCTTCAAGAGAAGGTATGGTGAAGTTTTCTAGTACCCCCTTACTGGTTCAGAGCCCGAATCAGGACCTCTCTATTAACTTCTAGAGACCCAACCCTTGGGCTAAGGGTGCTATCTCAGTCAACCCTCATCCAACCATACTTGTGTGGTTTCTACTTCAGTCGTCCAATCTCTGTCGCCTTCTAGGAGGGCTTTTGTCTCCTCTCTCCTCTCCTCCCCCATCATTCCCTCTCCTCGCTTGCTGAGATGCTGCTGCTACTGCCATTGCTGCTTCTGCTGCCGCTGCCGCTGCTGCAGCCGCTGCAGTGGGTGCCACTGGTCCTCCTCCTCCTCCTCCCGCTCCTCCCCTGCCTCCTGCTCCCCTTCCTCCTCCTCCACTTGCTCCTCTCCCCCCTCCACCCCTCCCTCTACCTCCTAGACTCATTCTCCCTCCTCCCCTTCCTCCCCTCCCTCCCCTCATCCCTCCCCCTTCCGCCCCAGAAAACTCGCCCCTCCCCATACCTCTCCCTTCCCCTCTTCCTCCGCCTCTCCCCCCACCTCTCCCCCCTCCTCCCATCCCCCCTCCTGGATGTCCCGGGCCTTCTCCCGGACCTCCCTGCCACCGAACCTGCGGCGGAGGCATGGGTTCGTTCGGACCTCCCACCATGCCCCGAGGAGGAGGCTCGGGAAAACCGTGCCTTCGATCATCCAACAGCTCAGGAAAACCATGTCTTCCTGGGCCTCCAGGCTCGGAAAACCCCTGCCGTCCCGGACCTAGCGGTTCGGAAAATCTCTGCCTCCCTGGGCCAGGAGGCTCGGAGAATCCCTGCCTCCCCGGGCCTGGAGGCTCAGAGAACCCCTGCCTTCCCAGACCGGAAGCTCTGGGGAAGTGAGAGGGAGGGTTGTTGAAGTTTGGATTGTGTGGTGGAGGCGGCATGTGGGGGAGGTTGTGCTGATTGTGCTGCTCATGCTGCCCTACAAACTGAGGCTGAGAGGAGGGAGGGGGGCGTTCCTGAAATGACTGCCTATCCGGCAGCATTTGCCTGCTAGGAGGCGGCATGGGGGTGGCGGGATGGTTGGGAGCGTTGGGAGGGAGTGAGATGCGGTGCTGGGGAGCATGTGAGGGAGGGTGGGAGGAGGAGAGCGGAGGAGGGAGGGACGAGAAGTGCGGGTTTGCATGGGAAAAGGGGGGCTCGTGAAGGGGTGGCATGGGGTGGGGGGGGAGGGAGCCCTCTCGGGTTGAGTCTGGGTGTGAGAAGTGCTGTGGGGGTGGTGATGTTTGGTTGCGAGGGTGGGGGGAGGGGGCGGGGGAAGGATGGGGAGGGCCCTGTCTCCCCTGGGGAGGATGGGGGCCGTGGGGAGCATGGGAGGGATGGGGGGCGTGTTGGGGATGGGGAGGATAAGGACTTGACTGGGGGGGATGGTTCGGGGGATGGGGAGATGAGTGGGAGGGGAGGGGGTGGAGCATGTGAGGGGGAAGGTGGGGGGATGGGTGAGAGGAGGGGTGTGGTTGGCCTTGAGAGGGGGGATGGGGTGAGGCATGAGGGGGATGAGTTGGAGGTCCATGTGGGGGACCATGAGGTCCAGAATGTGGTCCAGAGTGAGGCCCGGTGTGAGGCCCAGGGTGTGGCCCGGAATGAGGTCCGGAATGAGGTCCGGCGGACACGGATTGCCAGTCAGCATCGGGAAAGGCAGAGGTGAGTTGCTGGAAGAATATGCGGAGGAAGTGATGTAGCTCCACTGATACCTGTAAGGCACACGTTGAGGAGGCAGAGGAGAGGAGAGGAGAGGAGAGGAGAGGAGAGGAGAGGAGAGGAGAGGAGAGGAGAGGAGAGGAGAGGAGAGGAGAGGAGAGGAGAGGAGAGGAGAGGAGAGGAGAGGAGAGGGTAAGCAGTGAGTTGCTGGAAGAACGGGGGTGATTGGAAGGCAGAGGTGAGCTGCTGGAAGAATATGCGGAGGAAATGGTGTAGCTCCACTGGTCTGGTACCTGCCGAACGAAATGAAGAGAGCAGAGAAATGAGAAGCAGGAAGGCATTGGAGAAAGGGCTGCAGAGGAGAGGGTGAGAGAGAGGGCAAGTGGGGAGACTAGCGGCTAGCTGATAGAAGGAAATGAGGTCGAAACACGCTGATCCAACTGTGGCACTTCGTAACACAGGTTTGAATGACAATTTCTTACCTATTCAATCCCTACTAGCCTAAGCTCAGCCTAGAGGAGACTAGGACGGGTTAGGACCGTTGGATCCAGGTCGAAACTATCTTTCTATGCTACAAGAGGTTGAAACATGCCGATCCAACTGTGGCACTTCATAACATGCACCTCCTCCCCTCCTGGTCGCCTCGCCTCCACAGACCACCCTTTTACACTTTATTTCTTACTCCTCATCTCTCTCTCTTATTCCGCACTCTCACCTCTCGGTTGCCCTTGTGCCATCGCAGGTACCTCCACAACCCAAAGCTGTAAGACTTCTGAACTCCTCTTCTCTCCTCTCCTCTCCTCTCCTCACCTCACTTCCTCACTCACCTCTCGGTTGCCCTTGTGCCATCGCAGGTACCCCTCCACAACCATCCGAACCTCTTCAAACACCTGCACCACCGATTGGTACCCCCCTGAAAACAACCTCTCCTCCACGCCTCCCATCGTCAACCCCATCCCCTCCATCTCCCCTCCTCCCCTTCCTCCTCCTCTCCCTCCACCCCTTCCTCCTCCTCTACCTCCTCTTCCTCCACCTCCCCCGCTCCTTGCGCTGTCTTGACTTGCCGATTTATCTAACAAGTAATCTCCGATCCTCTCCCCTCTGCTATCCAGAGAGGCATTAAACTGCATTAGCATGTCTGCACATTTCCGAACCGCAAGCCCGGCTGGAGGCCCGGCAGCCGGCGGAGGTCCGGGCCGAGGTGGTCCGGCAGAATGGGTTGGTCCACCGGGATGCATAGGTCCGGCAGAGCGGATAGGTCCCCCAGAGTGAATAGGTCCGGCAGGAGGTCCGGAGGGGAGTGAGTGCTCTGTGAGATGCCTTGGTCCGGAAGGGGGCATAGGTCCGGCCGAACCAGAGATAGGTCCGGCAGAATGAGGAGGCAGGGAAGTGGGGTGAGAGGATTGGTGGGAGGAAGCAGAAGGGTGATTGGGATGCAGTTGCGGTAATGGTGGGGGGGAGGAAAAACCGGTCTCTCTTCTCTCCCCCATCCCTCTTCCCTCTCTCATCCCTCCTCCCTCTCTCATCCCCCCTCCCTCTCTCATCCCCCCTCCCTCGCCCATCCCTCTTCCGTCCCTCATCCCGCCTCCCTCTCTCATCCCGCCTCCCTCCCTCATCCCCCCACCCCCACGTGCTGCTGCTGCTGTGCCGAACCTACCTCCTCCTGGTTCCCTCCCCTCTTCTGAACCTGACCTGAAGCCTGGAGGGTTGCCGAACCTGTCATCTCGAGCCTCGTTCCTCTCTGTCCTGTCTCCCCAAACCTCACCCTCACCGAACCTCTCATTCCGAACCTCACTGCCACCGAACCTGTCCCTCTCATCCCTCCCCTGGAAACCCCTCGGTGTTGAAACCCCCCTTCCAGGAAATTCCCCTCCTCTTCCCCCCTGCCCTCTTCCTCCCTCCTGTCTCCCTCCCCCTCGCCCTCCCCTCCCCACTCCCTCCCTCCCCCCTCCTCTCCCTCCCCCCCTTCCCGCCCTCCCTCCTCCCCTCCCTCCTTCCCTCCCCCTTTCTCGTCCTCTACCTTCACCACTCCCCACTGCACTCAACCGCACTGCACTCTCTGGTGGGGGCCCAGGAGGTGGGGGTGGTGGCGGCAGCAATTGTGGCCCTGCAAAACCAGCACCAGCAGCAGCAGAAGAATCCGAACCAGCAGCAAAACCAGCACGAGCAGCAGAACCAAAACCAGAAGCAGAAGCAGAGGCAGAAGCAGAGGCAGAAGCAGAGGCAGAAGCAGAGGCAGAAGCAGAGGCAGAAGCAGAGGCAGAAGCAGAGGCAGAAGCAGAGGCAGAAGCAGAGGCAGAAGCAGAGGCAGAGGCAAGGGACATTCTTGGTGTAGGCAGCGGTGGTGGTGGCGGTAATGGTAAACGGTCAGCCAGGCCTCCCTCTCCCTCTCTTCCCACTACAGTCTCCTCCTGAATCTTCCACACCCATTTTCTTTTCCCACCTACCAACATCTCGTCTCTCTCTCCCCCTCGCTCCCCTCTGCCTTCTTGCATTCTCACTCCTCTTCCTTCCAGCTGATTACGATTCACCTGCCATTGCTCCTGTCCCACCTGCATTGCACCCTCCTCCTTCATCTCCCCTTCCTCCCCCCTCTCCCCTTCCTCCATCCCCTCTCCCCACTCCCCTCTCCCCTCCTCCCATCCCTCCTCTCTTCCCCACTCTCTCTCCTCTCCCTCCTCCCACTCCCCTTCCTCTGCCTCCCCTTCCTCCCTCTCCTCTTCTCCCACCCTCTCCCCCTCCCTCACACCCTCTTGCAACTCTCCCTTTCTCAATCCTCCCTCACTTCCTCTCCTCTCCCCTCTCTCACTCCACTCCTTCTCCCAAGACCCTCCCTTTTCACCCCTACCCACCAAGCCTACTCCAATCCCCATCCCACCATCCTTCCCCCTCTCTCTACCACCATCACTCTCCGCGTCTCTCTTCCCCCTCCCTTCCGCTTGACCTTCCTCCCTACCCTTAGAGTCCTGCCTTGGAAAAACCATCATCCCACCATCCTTCCCTCTCTCTCTACCACCATCACTCTCCGCATCTCTCTTCCTCCTTCCCTCCTCTCCCTCTTCTTGAACATCCACCCTCCTTTTCCTCGCCCTCCCTTCCTCTTCTCCTTCCTCTCTACCCTTAGAGTCTTGCCTAGGAAAGGCGTCACCACTCCAAGGGTGCTGGCTTGGGATTCGATTCACAAGCTCATCTCTACCCTTAGAGTCTTGCCTCGGAAAAACACCATCGCTTCCCCGCCTCCTCCCTCCCACTCCCTCCTCCCCCTCTACCCCCTTTACTCCCCTTTCTTGCTTCCGCTCCTCTCCCCGCCTCTCCTCTCCCCGTTCCCCACCAACTCCCGGCCTTTCCCTTCGTTCCCTGCTTTCCCTGCTTTCCCTGCTTTCCCTGCTTTCCCTTCGTTCCCTGCTTTCCCTGCTTTCCCTGCTTTCCCTGCTTTCCCTGATTTCCCTTTCCTCCCTGTCTCTCTTGGCATCAGTCAACATCCCTCTGCTATCTTTACTCCCCTCAGCACAAACCCTCCTTACCGTCTCCTCGCTTCTCTCACTCTCCCTCCTCTCCCTCCCTCTGCTCCTCTCCCGCTCCCCGTCCCTTCCCCTTTCCAACTGCCCCTCCTCTCCTCGTCTCTCATGCTCCCTCCTCTCCTTATTCTCCCTGCTCTCTCTCCTCTCTCTACTCTCCCTATTCTCCCTCCCATCCTCGCTTCTCTCTCTACCACCTAAGGCTCGATGCTCCTGCTTACCTCTATCCATCCCCACACCAGCAGCAGTACGATCCCCCCTATCCTTCTCCTCCCCTCCCACCCTCCCCTTCTCACTGACCCTTTCCCTCCCCCTCTCCCACACCCCCTCCCTCACCCCCTCTTTCTCCCCCTCTCTCTCCACTCCCTTTTCTCTCTCCCTCTCTCTGCCTCGTTCCCTCTCCCTCTCCCTCTCCCTCTCCCTCTCCCTCTCCCTCTCCCTCTCCCTCTCCCTCTCCCCCTCCCTCTCCCTCTTCCCTCTCGCTTTCTCTCCTTCCTCCCCCTCTCTTTTTCTCTCCTTCTCGCTTCCTCTAGACCTTTCCCCCTCTCTCCTTTCCCCCTCTCTCCTTTCCCCCTCTCTCCTTTCCCCTTCTCTCCTTTCATCCCTCTCTTCTCCCTTTTTATCCCCCACTCCTTCCCTCTCCCTCTCCCTCCCCCTCTCCCTCTCCCTCTCCCTCTCCCCAGCCCTTCCATCCCCCTCTCTTCTGTCTCTCTCCTTTTCATCCCTTCTGCCTCTCACCTCAAACTCCTTCCTCTCCTCCTTACTCCTTTCCCCCTTCCTTCTCTCCTCGCTCCTCCTCTCCTCCCTCCTCCTCCACTCCTCACTCCTTTCACGCACTTCCACCACCCTCCTCCCCTCAACCACCACCCCATCACTCCCTTCCCTAGCCCTGACACTCTCCCTCCCTCTCTCCTTCTCACTCGCCCTGTCCTCATCCCTCTTCCTAGACTCACTACTCAAACCAAAAGCAGTTTCTTTGTTTCTCTCCCCCCCCCCAACGCCCTCCTCTCGCTCTCTCTCCCCTCCTTCCACCCCTCTTTCTACCCACTCCTCTCCCTTCGTTCCCTTCGCATCTCCCTCATCCTCTCCACCTTCCTCCTTCCTCTCTTGTCCCTGCTCTTCCTGCTCACGACTCCCCCCACCTGCCCCACTCTCAGCCTTGACCTCTTCTGCAGCCTCTCCCTTCCTCTCTCCTGCTCCTCCCACACCAATCTTGCCTTTCGTTTGTTTCTCCCCAAAACGGCCATCCAACACTTGAGCTTCTTTCTTATCACTTTTCATGACATCGCCTTTCACACCCCACTCTAGCCGCTGCTCGTCACGCCCTGCCCAACCCTCCCTCCTTTCACCATCCTTCCTCTCATCCAACCGTCCCCTTTGCTTCTCGTCCCTCCCTTCCTCCTCCATTACCTTCTGCTTTAAATTCCCCATATAAGCAGATTCTTCCCTATTAGCATAACCTTTCGAAACTTCATTAGGAAACTGTACTCCTCCGCTGCCTCCCAACTGTTTCTCACTTGCTCCCCTCTCCTCCCTCTCCTTCCTCTTCTCCCTCTCATCCCTCTCGTCCCTCTTCCTCTCCTCCCTCCTCTCCCTCTCTTCCGTCTCTAATTTGCCACCTACACTCTCCCTTCCACCATCCCCTTTCTCTCTCCCCATTTGCTCGTCCTCCTTCTCCACACCATACCCCTCCTCACCCATCCCCACACCTGCATCATCCCCAGTTTGCACACCATCCCTCAACCCTTCACCATCCACAATAGGTCCCCCACTGCTGCTGCTGTCACCAGCATCACCACTGCTACTGCTACTGTCGCTGCTGTCACTGCTGCGATCGCTACTGTTTTCACTGCTGCTGCTGCTTGTACCTTGTTTGCTGCCGTCTCGTCCCTGCTTCTCACCCTCACCACTCCTCTTGCTGCCAGTTCCGACGCCCATGCTGCTGCTGTCACTACTGCTGCTCTTGCAAGGTTCTTCACTTTGTTTCGCCCCTTTCACAAAAGTTCCTCCTGCCTCTGCTTCCTCTGCTTTCTCCCTCACCTGTTGCTGCTGCTTCTCCCTCACCTGTTGCTGCTGCTTCTCCCTCTTCTCCTCTCTCTTCTCCTCTCCCTTCTCTGCGCTCTCTTCCGCTCTCTCCTCCACTCCGCTTTCCCCTTCCCATGCCATCACAGGCAGAAGCAATTTCTCCCCTCTCCTCTTCCCTCCTTTCAGCATCTCTGCTTCAGTAAAACCTCCCCTCTCAACACCTCCTGCTCTCCCTGCCACTGTTCTCTCCCTTTCCTCCTTCCCCCTCTCCTCCCTCTCCCTCTCCCCCTTCCTCTCCCTCTTCCTCTCCAAATTCTTCATACCAGCAGCACTCTGCTGGTGGCCTGAGAGGCTCCTGCTCCTCCGCACACCCCAACCAGCACTTACCAAAGCATCATGCCTATCCTTCTTCCTGCGCCCTCCACCCCTCCCGGGCAGCAAAATCCTCCTCCGTCTCTTCAGTTCCCCACCCTCCCCGTCTGCTCCACCTACCCCCTCTTCCTCTCTCTCCCTTTCCCCCTCTCTCACAATCTCTCCTCGTATCTCTCCTTCTCCCTCTCCTACTCCTTCTCCTCCCTCTCCTCCACCCCTCTCCCTTACAGTATATCCTCCTCTTCCCTCCTCTCCTACAGCCAACTTTGGCAAGCCTTCCGTCCCAGCCTTCCCCACCACTCCCTCCACTTCCCTTTCTCCCTCTATGTCCTCTTTTCCCACCCGTCTCACCCCTCCCAGTCCTCCAACCCCTTCTGCCCCTCCCGCGCCTCCCTTTGCATCTTCTTGTGCCACCAAACCCAGTTTCCTCTTCCTTCCTCGCTTCCTCCCTGTACCAGCAACAGCAGCACCAGCAGCATCAACACCAGCACCAGCACCAGCACCAGCACCAGCACCAGCACCAGCACCAGCACCAGCACCAGCACCAGCACCAGCACCAGCACCACTAGCATCAGCAACAGGACCACTCATTTCCTTATCCACCTCAAGGCCCCTCCTCCCCCTCCAATCCCCTTCCCCCACAAGAACCTCTTCCTTCGCTTCTCTTCCTCTTCCCATCTTCTCCTCAACCACCTTCCCCTCCTTCCTCTGCTCATCCCTCACACGCTCCTGAACCAACCAGCTCTCTTTCCCTCTCTTCTCCTCCTCCTCCTTATCATCCTCACCCTCTTCTCGCTTCCTTTCCTCTCTCCTCACTTGCCCCCTCTCCTTCTCCTCTCCTGTCACTAGACTCGCTACACTCCTCTTCTTGCTCACCCTGGGACTTGGGAGAACAGCACGCGACTCTTTAAGAGCCGACTCGCTATAAGCCTCGCCCTTGGACTCGTTATTATACTTGCTCTCGATCTGCAGCTCGCGTTTAGAAGCAACAACTCGCGGAACCCGAAACGGCTCTACCTGTATTCCCGCCCTAGCTGTTCCCTCCTCCCCTCCCTCCTCCCCTCCGTCTTCCCCTCCCATCACTCCCTTATTCCCTCCCTTCCCTCCCTTCTCTGCCTCCCCTTCCCTCCCACCCAGCATACGAATCTCCCCAGGCGTTTCCCCCTCGCCCCCTCCCTCAACCTCCACCCCTTTATCACCCCTTCTCTTCCTCTCCGCTTTCTCTTTCCGCTTCGCCTTCGCCCCCTCCTTCCCAGGCACCATCCCCTCCTTCCTCACAGCTTCTCTGCCTTCCTTTACTTGCTCCTTTGCATCCTTCTCTCCCTCCTGTACTATCTCCACTCCCCTCCCGCGCTCTGCTTCCCGCTTAATCTTCTCCTCTCGCCCCTCACCCCTCCACCTCTCCTTCCCATCCTTCCCCTCCTTCCCTTCCTTCCCCTCCTCCCTTTCTTTCCTCTCTTTCCTCTCCTCCTCCTCACCCATCCTTTCCTTCCTCTCCCTCCCATTACTCCTAATCTCTCCTCCACCCACAATCCCCTCCTGCTCTCCCTCCTGCCACTCAAACCCACTCGTCTTGCCGTGACCGCTACTGTGCTTGCGCCGATGGTGGTGGTGGTGGTGCCGGTGCTGGTTCTTCTGCTCCTTCTCCTTCGCCTGCCCTCCTCTCTCCTGCTCTCCCCTCCCCTGCTCACCTCTCTCCTCTTCACCCTTCTCCTTCTTACCCTTCTCCTCAGCCCTTACCTCTTTCCTTCCAGCACCAACCCCTCCCATCCCCGCCCATCCTTCCCTCCCCTCCTCCCCCACTCCACCTCTCTCCTCCCTCTCATCCCCTCTATTGAGCTCCTCACGGAGTCCCTTTAAGAGCTTCAGCCTGCCGTCACTTCCCTTGGAAAGCTTAAACCTGCGGCGTTCCTTTCCCCCTCGCTTTCCCTCACCAGTTAAGTCCTCTACATCATTCCTCAGCTTTGCATCTTTCCTAAGCCCTGCACCTCCCACCCCATCTCCCATCATCTCCCCTTCCTCCACCCTTTCTTCATCTTCCATCATCTCTTTATCTTTCACCCTCTTTCTATATCCCCTCTTCCGCAACTCTTTCCCTCCGTACCCTCCTCTTCTCCCCCCCCTCCCCTTCCTCCCCTCCTTCACACCCACTCCTACTCCCGCAAACTCCCCACCATCTTTCCCAAGCCTCTCACTATCACCCTCCACCCATATCCCTTCCTCCTCCTCTTCCTCCTCATCCTCTTCCAAAACTACCTCCTCCTCTACCACCCCTTTTACCCTCCTCTTACCCTGTTTCTCAACTCCTTCCTCCTCCCCTTCATCCGCCTCCTCCCCTTCACCCCCCACCTCCCCCCCACCACTCTCTCTCACCCAACGAACATCCGCTCCTTCTCCCTCCTCCTCTTCCTCCTCTTCTGCTGCTACTCCCTCTTTTCCTTCCACACGCTCCCATCCTTCTACCACCTCTTGTTCTTGAGAATTCTCAAAAACCTCCTCACCCTCCTCTTCATCTTCCTTCCCCAACAAAATCTTATCCCCCATTGCCTCTGCTCCTCCCTTGTCCTTTTCCTCACCCCCTCCCTCCTCTTCCCCATCAATCCCCCCATCAAATTCCTCATCCCCCACAATCATTCCCTCCTCCTCCACCTCCCCTCCCTCCCCCCTGTCAACACCTCTACCCCCTCTCCCTCCGCTCTTGAACTCCCCTTCCTCCTCTTCCTCTTCCTCTTCCTCCCCTCCCACTTGCTCCCCCTCCTTCCACCCCTCCACCTCCACAGGCTCGGCCGAACCTCCTTCCGCCCCTCCCTCTTCCGAACCTGACGCCTTCCTCCGTTTCCGAAGCGCAGGCTTGGCAGTCGTAGCAGCAGCAGCCGCCACCTGCTTCGAATTAGCCCTCAGCCAAGGAACCACCTCCCAAGCCTCCTCAACCAATCCCGGCCATTCCTCCTCCTCATCCATCCTATCAAAGAGCGCCAGCTCGTCGTCCCCTCGGGCAATCATCCGGTTTACCTCGCGCATGGAGGGTACATCCGGAACCGCCTCTTGGTACCGCTCTACATCCTTCAGCAGAGCTTCTAAAGTCATCCGCCGCTCCTCCTGTGTCGTGCGTTGGTCGAACCGGCCTGCGTTGATCACTTCATCTGCCATTTCAATCTTGTGCTGCTGTATCTTGGTGCGAACTAGCGTCTCTATAGATCCTATGTACCGTGATCCACCCCCACCCCCTTTTTCTCCTCCTCGCCCTCCTCCTTCCCTTCCTCCTCCCCTTCCTTCTCCTCTTCCCCCTCCCCTTCCTCTTCCCCTTCCCCCCCTTCCTCTTCCCCTCCCTGCTCCAGTTGACTGAGACGTTGGTGATTGCACCAACCCATCCTCCCTCTTCCTCTTCCTCCACCTCCCCTCTCTCCTCCCCCCCACACCTCCCTCCCCATCCCCCTCCCCCGCTCCCCCTCCTCTACTCTCAATCTCATCCTCTTTACAGTGCGCTGCAGTAACCTCTGTAACTGCCTCGAGATACATCACCAGCACCTCTCTCTTCTGTCCAATCCTATGTGCCCGTGCTACAGCTTGCTCCTCATTCTTAGGATTCGGATCAGGATCATATATCACAACCGTATCCGCACTCTGCAGATTCAGCCCCCGCCCCGCCGCCCGGATACTCAGCAAAAAGACAAAATGCTCCGACCCAGGCTTGTTAAACTCGCCAATCGCAGCCTCCCGAGCATCCAACGGTGTAGATCCGTCGATCCGGCAGTAGCCAAGCTTCCTCCACCGTAGATAGTCTTCCAGAAGGTCTAGAAGCTTAGTCATGGTGGAAAATAGTAACACCCTGTGCCCTGTGCGATGCAGTTTAAGCAGAACTCGGTCTAAGATATAAAACTTGCCGCACGTGCGAACAATCACATCCGGGCTGTAGAAAGA